AGATTTCAAAGACTCCTAGTTTTGATTGAGGATCAAATTAGAGTTAGGAAGAATTACAATCCTATCAATGGCTGTAATGCTTGCACATTATTTATTTGAATGTCTCACGAGAACAGGGTTTCTCAACCTTGGCAACATTAAGACATGTACACTTCAACTCCCAGAAATTCCCAGCCAGCCAGGTGGGAATTCTTGAAATTGAAGTCCACTGCTCTTTAAAGTTGCCAAGGCTGAGAAATATTGCACAACAGAGAGGGAGCTCATGTATTTTTCTCTTCTGATCGTTTTTCCATTTTTAATTCCAGAAGCCATCCAGAGTCATACTGCAGTTGGGTGATCTTCTAGATTGAATGAATGAATGAAATAAAAAAACAATGTAAGAAATGCAACAGCCATCCTTCAGAAGAGGGTTCTTGCTTGGATACCATCCCAGATTTGTGTCTTCCTATCTTCCTTTGACAAGATCCAAAAGTTAAGATTTGTACATTCTCCAGATTTCATTGACGTATACCCTACTGCCTCCATCCAACACTGAAGACCACTTGTACTTCAAATGCTTCTCCTTAATCAAACTTCTACAAGCTGATATCCCCCAATGTGCTTGGATTGCAAATTCCCATGATCTCTGACTCAGGAAGAACATGACATTTCATGAAGAATGAGATTTGATAGGTTAAACAAAGATACTCAGTATCTGGTACTTTACTTTTTGCTCAAGCAATTTTGGAAGGAAGGGATCTAAAGTCCTTTGGTGGCCCTCGGTGGTGGCTTTAGTTCAGACTAGACTTTGCACTGGGTTATGAACTCACACTTGGCAGTCACCTTGCTTGTCCAGCTGGCTTCAGAAGCCTTGTCTCCACTCCTGAACTTTGCTGAACTCTTTGTCTACGCAAATATGTTGACAAGAGAAACTCAAGGCACTGACTCACTGGACCTTAAAACTACTCTAGGCAACTTTGCATGCCAAGTTAGATGAAGGACAGGCAGAGATAAAAAGATTACATATCCATTATCTGTTTACTTTACACACACATACCAAAGATTGCTACTATGGCAAGTAGCAGTCTTGATGAGAACGCCTACAGAATGATAGAAAGGATATTAGAGAAAGCAATATCACTTACTAGTTGCATCATCTCAGAAGAAACTCTGCTAACCTTTTGTGAAGTCTGAAAAAGTAATAACTACAGTCACAATAATAATGATATAATAAAACCTTATGAGGGGAACATTGGCTTCAAAGAACATCTTATCCATGATGAATCATGGTTGCTCCAACCCATGGAGAAGACATAAGTCCAGAGCCAATGTTTATCCTCCTTCTGCTCTGAAGGAACATTTTTATTTACAATCCTACCTTCTTCATCCCAACACTCCATCTGTGACCTATACTTGTCAGATATAAGTAGGTAATCAGTGTCTTAAAAATGTCTTTAAAAGCTGTATACCTAGGACCAATACGTTATTTTTGTTTTGTGCAATTCTGCCCTTAGCTAAACCACGACACAAATAGCTAGACACTCTTCAGACTGTTGGGTATCATTCTAAGCTGGGTGTTTGGGATATGTAGTATCTGTGATGCATGAAGACATTGTACAGCTGCAGCTTCCATCTTGCCTTTTTTGCCTTCGCCTGATTCCAGTGTCCCTTCCTGGATAAGATTCCCATCTTGTCAACTCCTCTTGATTCCCATTGCTATCTGAAATTTGGCAGAGGAAGAATATAAACTTGATAAATAAATAAATAAATAAATACATCTATTCTTCACAGTGACCTCCAAATTCTATAGCAATGGCTTCTATACAGTTACCTTTGGAAACCTGGTTTTATTTTTATTTTTTTTAAAGGTCCTATTTGAACATGTTTTTAGCTGCATTTATGATATCAGATCTACTAAGAAGTAAATTTGCTCCAAATCTGTCTTTATCCCTCTTTTAGCTCCTACCTTTGGTGGTGTTTTGGAAAAACCGTATTAGGTGTCTTTACTTTATCCGCTAATACATCTACAAATATCACAAAAGTTAGGCTGCAATTGTGGAATATAAATTTAGAAATTATAGACATTCACAGGAGGTAAGAAAGAAAGAACGATGATGTGTCCTACCACAAAAATTGGGTTGCTAAACAGTTGTTGGATGATATTTTTTCGTGGGTCACTCAGCAGGTTATCTATCTGTCACTAGAACATCCACCCATGTGCCAAAAAACAATGTACTATTTCTAATTCTCTGTAGAAATACTTGTGCCCAGAAGCAGATGTTCTGAACTCATTTTATCTCTAACCTAGATCTTCTACCAGTTCACTCTTTGAGTTTATCTCATTCAAATACACAAAGTTCTTCTTTCTGTTCAAAATGATTGTGCTTCTTGGGGTCTTCAAGATAGATAGGAACTACAATTCCAACCCCTGGAGTAACTTTTGGAGAAAGACAGTCCAAAGTTGCAGAAAACCAGGCTAAAACAGGAGCTTTCTTCTCTTTTAATACCCCTGGATCTTGTGTTCTGGTGCACAGTTTCATTTTTTTCTGCACAAGACATTGGTTCCCCATGTGCTCAGGAGAGAAATAATTTTATGGGACTAACTAAGATGTAGAAGAGTTATAATGTTCCAAACATAGCTGCACCTTAAATCTGTTTATTTACTTACATACCACTGAATAGTCCACTCGCTCTTGGTCAAACCGGTCTGGAGTGGTTAACACTATCACAAGTAGAAAACATAGCAAACAATAAAAGCTTAACACCATTATTACAGCCAAAAATGGACACACAATAACTTTTATAAGTATAATTGTAAAATCTATAGGAGAAGGTGAGCTTTCAAAATTTCATTGGAAACAAATCAGGAAGAGAAGCAACCTAGAAATAAGGAGAAATTTCCTGACAGTTAGAACAGTGGGACAGAAGTTGCCTCCACAAGTTGTGGGTGCTATTAAGTTAATTCAGAAAAAAAATAACAAGAATTGGGAATTCATATCTGTAATCTGTAATCTTTTCCCAGTAAAGTAGTTTCATAATTAGTCATAAATAAGAGACATGATGGCAGTCTTCCAATATCTCAGGGACTGCCCCAAAGAAGAGAGGGACACCTGTTCTCCAAAGCCCCTGAAGGCAGGGCAAGACGCAATGGATGGAAACTAATCAAAGAGAAAAGCAACCTAGAACTAAGGAGAAATTTCCTGACACTGAGATCAATCAATCAGGGGAATCCATAAGTTGTGGGCGCTCCATCACTGGAGATTTTTAAGAAGAGACTGGACAGCCATTTGTCTGAAATGGCACAGGGCTCCCGCCTGAGCAGGGGGTTGGACTAGAAGATCTCCAAAGTTCCCTCCAACTCTATTATTCTGTTGTTCATTGGCTTTATTTTATTTAGTGCTGAATAATATTAGTTTACTGTTCCTAGATAACCAACCTGGATAGCATACTCCAAAGGAAAAACATTTAACCACCTGTTACGCTCAAAAGGCACCATTTTACAGTAGAAAAGGTATTTCCTACTTTAGCCTGGCCATTTTCAATTAAACAGGGTTATGGGACGTTGGAATCAAACTTCAGTTTCTTTTCTGGTTGAATGAGTGAGAAGGATCAGCTGATGCTCCTTCCATACTCTCCAGTTGGATCAACATTTGCCTAATAAGCCAGGAATTTCTACTTTGCATCACACAAACTTTCCTGACCCAGAGTTGTTAACTCATAATTCTTTGACCTTTTTTTCTGGCATGAACTTCTCTGAACGCTGCTGGACAGTGTCACAATCTGTGCTCAGCCCACTTTCCACCAGGAAGATGGCAGAGATCCAGAATTCTTATCCAAGGAGAGTAAAGGGCCAAGAGCTGATCAGATGAGCATGTTTTGCTAGGGTTAAATTGCACACGATGTACTTTCAATACAGTCTGCAGCTTTTCACATTTCATAATGTCTCTCTCTCTCTCTCCCCCCCCAAGTAATATTGGTTTCTGGTTTTAATTAATTCATTATATGTTTTGTTTGTTTCTTCTTTGCTTTTATTATTTTTGTAAACAAAGTGGTGAACATATCCAACACACTTTCCCCCTCCTATTTTCCCCACAATAACAACTCTGTGAGGTGGGCTGGGCTATGAGAAAGGGATTGGCCCAAGGTCCCTCAACTGGCTTTCAAGATTAAGGAAGAACTAGAACTCACCGTCTCCTGGCGATTGGCTCAAAGTCATCCAGTTGATTTTTATGGCTAAGGCAGGACTAGAACTCACCATCTCCTGGCGATTGGCCCAAAGTCACCCAGCTGGCTTTCATGCCTTTCATGAACTCACAGTGTGCCCATTTCTAGCCAGGCGCCTTAACCACTAGACCAAGATATAATTTTAAAGCACCAATATTACCATTTCCTCCCTGGAGAAAGATGGTATGGCAGTCACACAGAGATATTTTTCAACATAAGAAGAAGAAACTTGAATCTAATATGTGTAATTATTACGGAATATTTCTACCTAGTCTTCTCCATGGCTGTCTACTCTGAGAGTCCAGAATTTGGAAAAATTATTTTATATTCAGTAACTTCAATATTGGCAAGTTTTTGTGCAATAGTAGATAAAACCTCTCAGCTCCTGGTGCTGGCTTCTTAATATCAATATTTTATATATTTTATAGATATTGTTGACATTATTGCTGTTCAACTGTTATTTCATGTAATTCTGCTTTGTTGGCTGGTTGGGATCTTTTTGGCAATCATAAACTCCTATTAAGGCTTGGAAGGAATTTGGTAACGTTGTTGGTTTTACAGATTAATGTGATTTTAAACCCAGTTTGCCTTATTCTTTTTTTTCTTCATTAAAAACGATTTTTCAAAGGTTAACTTGATCAATTATTTTCAAGACCTTTTCACCTCCAGAGTGTAAAATTGGCTTATGTGAACCGTGATTGGACAATTGAGTTTCTCCTTTTTTGGCTATACTCCACCTCCTGTTCATTAACTTTCATGCCTAATTCACATACTCTTGATCTGAAAGCAGGTAGGAACCACAATTCTCAACGATTTGAATCTGTAGTACTTTCTGACAACATTTTCCCTCAAACCATCAATCTTTCCAAAAGCAGAAGGAGTAACTCAAGGTCCTCAAAATCCAGGATGGATCACCTTCCATATTTCTCACTAGAGACTTGGACACTTCTCATTTTATTCCTTGGCCTTCTGATGTTGTAAGTAAAACATGATGTTCCATCTTCCTCTGCCTGCATGAATTTCAGCCTTGTTCGCTCCTCACGTCCCGCAAATCAATCAATAAAGTCTTGTGGGTGATAGTCTGTTGAGTTATAGGAACAAAGACAAGCTGCTGGCTTGCCTTAACTGATCTGGTCAACATATCTGAGTCTCAAGCAGAAATCTTTCCTGGCTTTAATTGAACATGTCCAAGATTGAAATAGGATTGCATAGCTTTATTGTTAAGCTAGAGTCAAATTCCACAGACTTATTTTGTCTATGCCACTTATTTTTTTACTATGGAGAGAGAGGAAGGCAATCTTTGCATATTCCAGTTGACCTGATCTACCATTGGTGAAACCATAGACTTCTACAGAAGCCTATTTATTGCTTCAGCATCATTCCTGGCTACCCAAATATTCCACAAGGTGTTTAAAAATTTGAATTGTGATTTTATTTACAAGGGTGGGCTTGGAATCTGAGCAGAGTCTGACCTGTTAGGTTCTTGAGTGTAGCCTGATGTCTACTAGATGGTCTTATCAAAAAGCCTTTGATCTTTGGTGACCACAACCTAATCCTTTAGATCCTCCATCACACATCTGTCTACCCTACACGCATGATCTACCTAAAAATTAAGTAGAAAAGATAAAGAACCAGGAAGAAGTTCAGATTGAAAGAAAAGAACTTCCCCGAATGGATACCTACAGAATCTTTTGCCAGAAAAGCCAGCTCAGCTCTGATTTCTCAGCAGTAAATATGTCTTAAGTTGCATTTTTATTTCTCTCTTCTCCCCACTTTGCTTTTTGCCTTGAGCTGGTAGAAGATCTAAAAGAAAACTTGTCTTTCTTTTTTAAAAAAAATTGATTTTTTGCTCAAGCTTTTAGGGCTTCTTGCTAGTCTGGGCCTCCATTGCTTTATGAAATGATTGCTTTTACCTTGAGGTTATCTCTCTATGAAGATTTCTGCAAAAGCAGCAGCAGCCCCCGCTTATCAATGGCCAGTGCTTATTAAACAGTTTTACAAAGTCATTATGGGAGAAAGAAATGGAGGAAGATGCTGTGGACACACACACACACACATACACAAATATATATATATATGGAGGAAGATGCTGTGAGCATGGACACACACACACACACAAATATATATATATATGGAGGAAGATGCTGTGAGCATGGACACACACACACACACAAATATATATATATATATGGAGGAAGATGCTGCGAGATGAAATGATTAATTCCTGAGTTAACATGAACATGTTTGACTGCCTCTGGCAAAGATTTTGGGAGATTTTGCGTTCCAATCTTGTGTTCTGTTTATTAAGGGAGGGGGGAAATGTTGCCATTTTTTAACAGCTAAGCTAATTTCTTTCAAACAGAATGTAACTTTTTTTTAAAAAAAAAAATCTGCAGCAAACCAAAGTGGAGCTTTTTCTTCTGCTTTTAGCGGTGCATTGATCTGTTTGCAGATTGCAGAATTAAAATAGATAGTGTCTCCTTCCTGGCCGTGCGTTGTGATGCAATCCACCACCGAGGGTTAAATGGGCAATATCCCACATTTAAATCTAATACCCATGAAGGTTCCTGATGCAACGGCACATAGTCCTTGATTTAGAACCATTTGTTTAGCCACTATCTGAATTACAACAGGTTTGCTTAACAGCCACATGACTCTCTTAAAAACTGCAGGGAAGCAGGTGGTTGCTAAGCGACTTACACCTGATTTTATGACCCGTTTTGCCACTGTTGTTAAGTCAAACAGTGGCCAAACAGGTTGTAAAATCAGGTGTAAGTCACTTAGCAACCACCTGCTTCCAAACTGTGGTCGTAAAATGAGGACTACCTGCCCCCATTTCAGCAGCACACTGATTGCTTTGCATTTTTAGACTGGCATTTTTAGACCGTCAGGATGCCGAGATACAGGTCATTCTCGACTTATAACGGTTTGTTTAGTGACCGGTCAAAGTTACAACGGCGCTGCAAAAAGTGACTGAGGACCACTTTTCACACTTATGACCGTTGCAGCCTCCCCAGGGTCACGTGATCAAAATCCAGAGGCTTGGCAACTGGCGTGTATTTGTGACGGTTGCAGTGTCCTGGGATCAACTGATCCCCGTTTGCGATCTTCCACCAAGCAAAGTCAATGGGGAAGCCAACTTCACTTAACAACTGAGTCATTAACTGAACAACTGCAGGGATTCACTTAGCCACCGTGACGAGAAAGGTCATAAAGTGGGGCAAAACCCCCTAAAGAAATTGTCTCACTGAACGACATCAGTTTTGGGCTCAACTGTGGTCGTAAGTTGAGGACTGCCCATATGTTCTCTCCCATATCTCTGATTCATCTATATTAGGGATGTCAAACTCGCAACGTCACGTGACATGTCGCGCCTTTTTTTCCATTGCCGGCAATGGGGTGGCCGCAGTTTCGCCATGACGCATCCTGCCTGTGGGCCGGCAGTTTGACACCCCTGATCTATACGGTCACACTGAAGAGAAATAGGAAGTTCTCTTTTGGTTTCTCTGCACTGTTCTTTCAGAGTGCACATGGGTCCCTGGAGTCCCCAAAGAGCCCAGATGCATGCATTCCATCCAACTAAATGGGGCCGTTCAAGTCTGGTGGGATAGACATTTTTCCTTCCACCTATCACTTCGCTATCCCTATCCAGACTCTCCTGAACCCTGAAAAAAAAGACATTCTCCTTTTACAGATACGGCGTCTGGCCTTATGGAGTCTTCAGGAAGTTGGGCATTCCGGGCCCGATGCCTCTCCCGTTCATCGGTACGGCCTTCGGGTTTCGTTATGTAAGTTTACGGGCTGTTTTTCTGGGCGTGATTTCAAGAGCAGATTTCTGAGAGGCTTCAGATCTTTATGGTTTGTCACGGAAGAGAGGACTTGCAAACTGGGGTTTAGGGCTTTGGGTTTTTAAGATATTGCGTGGACCTTTTCAAGAAAACTTGTTCATGCAGCAGGAGGCATAGAGAAGATAGAATCATAGGATTAGGATGGACCTTGAAGGTCTTCTAGTCCAGCCCCCTGCTCAAGCAGGAGACCTTATACCATTTCAGACCAATGGTTGTCCATTATTGTTCTTAAAAACCTCCAGTGATGGAGCGCCCACAACTTCTGGAGGCCAGCCATCCCACTGGTGAATTGTTTCTCACTGAAATTTCTCCTTATTTCTAGATTCGATCCCTTCTTAACAAGCTTCCACCCATTGCTTCTTGTCCTGTCCTCAGGTGCTTTGGAGAATAAGCACTAGACATTTGAAAATGAATCCTGACATAATGTGCTGGGATTGGTTTGTTGAGGACAAATCAAAAAGAGGCAGGGAATCTTACGATTTCTCTGTCGCCCAGTTTTAATCTAGTTTAGTCTAATCAAGGGCTGAGAAATTTACCTTGTAAAGCAAAAAGCAATAAATAACACAGCTGCTTGTATATTTGAGCCTGGCAAGAAACTGGCTTTAAATTTTTGGGAGTGTGGTGTGAAAAACCTATTACCTAAGCAAACAAGTTGGAAAATTGCTTTAGTTTAATATTGTCATTATTTCAGCTTTGCGAACCCTGTTCTATTTGCAAAGCTCACTAATTATCTAACCACTCTGAATACAGAGATAATCCTCGACTTATGACCACAATTGAATCCAAAATTTCTGTTGCTAAGTGAGACATTTGTTAAACAAGTTGGGGATTAGTTGTAAGCGATTCCTGATCATTGGTGATTAGAGATATTTGCAAATCTGTGTTGGGAATTTTATGGCAAGGAATGATTGCAAGACGGTTTGATCTCAGATCTGCCAAGTGTGGTTTTTGCCTTTGACACTCACTCTTAATGTTTCTGTTACAGGGAAGATCCAATTTTGATATGGTCTGTTATAAAAAATAGGTAAAATGTGGGGGTGAGTATTTATTTCCTTTTTATTCGACTGGCAAAGTTTTCTGGGCTTGTTCCCCTCATTCATGGATATATAGCCCTATCTGTGCCAGACTTCAACGGAGAGACTTTAATCAATTGATCATTTATTCTAGGACTTACGATGGACGACGGCCCATTCTGGCTATAACTGACCCTGAGATAATTAAAATTGTACTGATAAAAGAGAGTTATTCCACCTTCCTGAATCGTGGGGTGAGTTTCAACTTTGCAGACATTCTGACAACGTTGAGAAAAACGCTTTGATTATAGACAGTCAGAGTGCGATAATTACAATCCAAGAGAAGATACCTTGCAAGCTGTGTCAGGGACCTACATTGTGTGGGTCCTGGGACATGGGCCTTCTCTCAGTGGCAACTTCCCTATGGAACATTTTCTCCCCACTCTTCCAAGTCAGGTTAGCCCCATCCCTGCTCTCATTCCAGAAGTCCCTTAAGACCTGTGACCAGGTTGTAATGGGCAGTGCGAATGGTCTTGGGGGAAGAAGGAAAGAGATGCTACTTAGGAAACAATTAGATAAGAGAGGGAGGAGTCTCAGGTTGCTTAATAGTTAGAGGAATAAACTTAGGAAGGACTTAAGTTTAAATGCACCAGCCTTTTAAAAACGATTTGGGAAGCTTGTTTGGAAGTCAGTGTAGATCAGGGGTTCTCAACCTTGGCAACTTTAAGACTTGTGGACTTCAACTCCCAGAATTCCTCAGCCAGCAAAGTCCACAAGTCTTAAAGTTGAGAACCCCTGGTGTAGATAGATTGCCTTGAAAATATAAAAATTGTGTTTGCACAGTTACGGGTGTTTCTAGGCTGGCAAAATACTTTGAAACACAAAGAAGTAAATGTTGACCCAACTTGCTAACCCTTAAATAAACACAACCAAGCTGTAAATAATAACTATACTTAGCATCGTGTCTGAATGCTTGGTTTTCACCTGACGTGATTAACAATGGCCTGCAAACCAACATCTGTGTGAACCTAGATTATAGTCAAGTAGGACCAGCAGGAATATTTCATCAGGGAGCTAGACTTTTGTAAAGTTGTAGAGTTTTGTTGAGTTTTATAGCACGGCGATAAGACTTTTGCCTTTTTGTAAGCGCAGGGCTGGTTGCTGACGAGTCTAGATGGACATCGCAATGGTGTGTTCAAAGCCTCTCCTGTTTTTTTTTGCTCTTCCTAATGTGAGATGGACATCCATTCCTCTCTCTTTCTCAAATGTGTCCCTTAGAATTTTGCTCCCCGTGGCCAGTTGAAGACATCCATTGTGACAGCAGAAGATGAGCAGTGGAAGAGGATTCGGACAGTTCTTTCGCCCACTTTCACCAGTGGAAAGCTAAAAGAGGTGAGGAATAAGAGGGAAGGACATATTAGGGCTGATTTTGCTATAGACAAAAAGTTAGGCTCTGTTTCTCCTTTATTTGCATTTTGTGTGTCTCCATCCTTCTCCCTAAGATGTTTCCCATCATTCAGAACTATGTGAAAAATTTATTAGTGCTTTTGCAGAAGAAAGCAGATCGAGAAGAACTGGTGGACGTTAAAAAGTGAGTAACAGCCTGACTATGTGGGCCGGGGGCTCTGGAGAAATGGTGGTCCTCTGTTTGGAAACTCACTTCTTGAGATGACAAAAATGGCTGCCTGGACAGCTCATGGAAAAGAGGAAAGTTGAGGATGTTAGCAATTGAAACTTGTGGAAGAACCTCTCTGGAGAAAATAGCAGATGGCAATGGAGATCCCATAGAACCGTTCTACTTAGTTCTATAGTATTCCAAATGATGAAGTGTGCTTTAGATAAATTGGATGGTACAGAGATAAATGAACAAAAGAGGAGAATATTTGTAACTCAGGGTCGAAATGAGGGGTCCTTAGTGCTCTCTGAGGATGGTTGTTTTATCGCTAGCACTGATGATGTTATCTAGTTTGGGTAATAAAACATCTACAAGAAAATATCCAAGTTCAAAGAGCGCCAAGGACCCCTCACAAATGGACAAAAAAACAGGTCAGTTGAAGATAAGCCATGATCGAGCCACAGATTATCTTAATCTGGCAGTAGATCGAGATCCCATTTTAGAAGACAATCAGGTAGATAATTGCATCTGTTGGAGTAGATCCCATAGTGCCTCAAAAAACTGATCAAGCTCAAAATCTAGGTCTCAAAAGTAAAGACTCTTCATGTTCCAGATCAAACTGTTGAAAATCTAGATCAAATTGAAATCTAGCAGAGGTTTACAAGCAGATCCAGGTCTGTATCTTGATCACCTAAAGAAAGTGTTCCGGGCATAAAAGTTTGACATATACAAATGGAAGCATACAGATGGACATTTGAGGGCCTTCTTCCTTCTTTTTCCTTATTTTGACCACTCGTGTCTTATATTTCTCCAGAATCTTTGGTGCCTACAGTATGGATGTGGTCACAAGCACCTCTTTTGGTGTCGACACGGATGCCATGAACAACCCCAAAGACCCCTTTGTCCAACAGGCACAAAAACTGATGACGGCTGACTTCCTTTCTCCACTGTTTATTTTATTATGTAGGTTGGTTCTACCTTCAGCTTTGAAATCCATTGTTTGTAACCTCTGACACAGTTTAGCACTTGTCATGGTCTGTGGGGATGGCCTTGAGGGAGAGGAGGAAGAGGTGAAGACTAGACAATGGTCAGATAAGAGGCAGCTGAGCCCACAGAAGGAATGGGAAGTGGCAACCATTTCAGAAGGGACCCTTCCTAGTTTCTTAGACTGTAAAGGGGACAGGGGTATCTCCAGACTTACAAGATTCCATTAGTGTAACCTTACAATAAAATTAGAAGTGGAACTTTTGGGTGTGCTTTTTGTCGGCACCATCTTGCGTGGCTGACGGCACTGAATCTCACGACCACTTCCCCCTTTTAAATAATTAATTACACATCTCAAATAAATGTCTCCTGTCTTGATAACCATCTCCTTCTGTTTCCAAGCAACTCACAACCTATTTGCTGATGGCATCTGCCGTGTTCTTCTAATGCTTTCCCTTCTCTTTCCAGATGTTGCCCCATGGCTAACCCCTCTTCTTGAAAAGATGAATGTAAATATTTTTTCCAACGAGTCCGTGGAATTCTTCGCAAGGTCCATAACAAAACTGAAAGAGAAGAGGGCCAAAGAGGGTCCAATGGTGCGGAAAAAGCCTGCATGACTAAGTTAATTCACGGAAAAACACACACCAAGAATCGGGAATTCATACCTGTAATCTTTTCCCAGCAAAGTAGCTTCATAGTAGCTCTTTCAAACCAAGAGACGTGGTGTCTGTTTTCCAATATGTGAGGAACTGTCACAAACAGGTCAACCTATTTTCCAAAGCATCAGAGAGAGCAGAACAAGAAATAACTGATGGAAATTAATTAAGGAGAGAACCAGCCTAGAACTGAGGAGAAATTTCCTGATAGTGAGAACAATCAATCAGTGGAATGGCTTTCCTTCAGAAGTTGTGGGTGCTCCATTGCTGGAGGCTTTTAAGAAGAGACTGGATAGCCATTTGTCTGAAATAGTATAGGGTCTCCTGCTTGAGCAGGGGTTGGACTAGAAGACCTCCAAGGTCCCTTTTTATTCTGTTAAATCATCAAAATCTAACTTCTTTTTTTTTTTTTTGACATACTGGGCCTCTTGTATAAAGCAATGCCATAAACATATTGTGTTAAGATCAATACAACCAGCTTTTGTGATGGCAATCTCTGGGATTTTGGTTGACTCAGACATGGTTCTATCCTGGGCAGGACCAATCATCTCTTGTTAGATTCAAAATAAAACATAGCATTCCATTTTAGGTATAAGCTTATCCAATCCTTTCCCGTATTAAATCCCTTTAAAATTAAAACGTAGCATTGCAACCAATGATCTGGAAATAATTAGGGGATTTCTTCTAAATAAAATGGCATAGCTGTAATCAGGTTATTGAAGTTGTAGCTATTGTGTAAATACTACTCTGGCCAAGTTGCCAAGAAGCAAGCATTCTGAAATGTTCTTATTATTGCAGGGAAGAGTGGATTTCTTGCAACTGATGATAGAATCTCAAAACTCACTGACAAGCCATGAGATGAATGGTGTCAATCACACCTATAAAGGTAATAATTTGAAACCATCGTCAACGGTCATGTCTTCAAACCGGAACCAGCTTTCATTGCTAAGTCTGCTTGTGGGAATTAATAAAACAATGTGGGCAAGAGAGACAAACTTCTCATTGAAGAAAAGAAGCACTGAGACAGTTTAGGAATATTTTTTAAAAAGTTAGTGGGTTTGAGGGAAACCTTCATAAGAATTCAGATCTTCTTGGATGCAGCCTACAATTTCTTGATCCCACCTATAAACTTCAGTTAAACCTTGTAGGAAACCAGGCTAAAGAACGCCTTGCCAATGGATCCATAAAGAAAGATGACCCCGTTCGTGTGCATTTTCTCCAATGGTTCCTTGAGTTAGGGTTTCTTTGCATCACAAGGTGGCCTTCAACTTTTCTCTCTTCTCTTCTTCATGTAGGTTTGACTGACAGTGAGATTCTGGCTCAAGCAATTATCTTCATCTTTGCTGGCTATGAGACCATTAGCAGTGCCCTCGGTTATTTGACATATGAACTGGCCATCCATCCTGACATACAGCAAAAACTTCAGGAAGAGATTGATATAGTTCTGCCTAACAAGGTAGGTGGGACTCAACTTTGATGCAATTAGGCTTTCAACTATGTCCATTAAGCTCCGCCCTGATTCCCATCATCTGGAATATTAAGTATCCAGGATGCTGGATATTTAATATTCCAGATGAGTGGCATTCTGGAATACTGCATCCCGTTTTGCTCATCACGTTACAAAAAAGATGTTGAGGTTTTGGTTAAAGTGCAGAGAAGACCAACTCAGATGATTAAAGGCCTGGAGACAAAAACATATGAAGAACGGTTGCAGGAATTGCATATGTGTAGTTGAATGAAAAGAAGGACTAGAAGTGACATGATAGCAGCATTCCAGTATTTTGAGGGGCTGACACAAAGAAGAGGGGAGTCAACTAATTTTCCAAAGCACCAGAAGGCAAGACAAGAAGCCATGGATGGAAACTGAACAAAGAGAGAAGCAACCTAGAAATAAGGAGAAATTTCCTAACAGTGAGACCAATTAACCAGTGGAACAGCTTGCCTTCAGAAGTTGTGGGTGCTCCATCACTGAAGGTTTTCAAGAAAAGACTGGATACCTACCTGTGTGAAATGGTATAGGGTCTCCTGCTTGAGCTGGGGGTTGGTCTAGAAGACCTTCAGGGTCCTTTCCAATTCTATTCTGATTGATTGAAGTAGCTCTTTGAACATAATTGGTTTTCCTTTAGATCAGCTGCTAAACAATGATGGAACAAATGCTAAACTATCCGAATTTAGGGTTGGTGCTTTCTTGTGGAAAAATGGCGTAAATCCCACATCAAAGCCTTGAGTTGATGGCCTCCTTGAGAACATTCTAATCATTAAGGAAAACCTATTAACAACGATGATGACAACCACAATAAAACACTTCTTACACTTTGCACCTTTAGAACATGCAATCCATAGTGAGTATGTTGCTATGGTAACACTATGTCACCTCCTACAGCGATAGGGATGTGACAACACAATGCAAAGCAAGCTGTTGTTGATATGCCGTTCTCTCAAAAGAGCAAGCCAGCTAACCTGGCTTGGGTCCCAGGCCTGCGGTTGGTGAATTATTGTTTGTCTAGGCTAAGGTGTCTGTGTTGTTTGATTTGTGTTGTTTACCAGATGGTTTCTGTCTGAGATGCTCACTTGATGTTTTCATTTGTTTCTATGGATTGTCCAGTCTTGTATGCCATTCAGAGTCCCTTTGAGTTCAGTGACTAGTATATTCTAAACAAACAAACAAATAAACAAAAAAAACCCACCACGGTATTGGACCTTGTTGTTATCTGAACAGAAGAGCTTCAAGGACTGTAGGACAAAATGGGAGATTCGAAACACATCCTAGGAAAGACTGTGGGAAATTGAGAGAATCCAGAAAGCCACAGGACTTAACTTTCTTGACTCCATGAGTTTGTGATCTTCTGCTCTAGATACAGATATTAACTTTTAAGCTTAATTAGGGACAAAATAAGCAAGTTTTTTCTATGTCTCTCTCCCTCCCTCCCTCCCTCTCCCTCCCTCCCCCCTCTCTTAGGCTCCAATCACCTATGATACCCTTATGCAAATGGAGTATCTGGATATGGTCCTCAGCGAAACTCTACGAAAGCATCCAAGCACCAGGCGACTTCAAAGAGTGTGCAAGAAAACCATCAAATTAAATGGAATCACCATCCCCAAAGGGATGTTCATTATGATTCCTCCCACCATCTTGCACTATGATCCAGAATACTGGCCTGAACCTGATCAATTTAGACCTGAAAGGTACCCTTTGATATTTCTATGGGTTTTTTTTAATTCTTCCAGTTCTCATAACCAATGACTTGATGGTAAGAAAAAATCAGAATGAGTTGAAACTTCCTGACAAAATGCTTGTTAGGTGATCTTGTCTGCTCATAAGGCAGACAAATTGGGTGCCTGTAACGGGCTGTGAGAATGACTTTGGGAGATGGAAGGAAGTATCCGCAGCCTAAACAATGGTCTGATAAAAGACATCTAAGTCCAGAGCAGGAATAGGGCTGGAGGAAGCATCTCAGAAGGGACTCTTCCTATTTCTCTGGAACATAAACATAGAGGAGAAGAGAAGAGTTTTCAGACTTGCAATATTCTGTTACTCTCACCTTAGAGTAAAGGCTTTGTTGTATTCCTGGTTTCACTTACCTGGTCTGGGCTTCCCTGAAGGGCTAATGGTGCCATTCTAAGACTCTTCCAACCTGCCCCCTTGAAGAATCTGCTGCCCCGAGGATCCACTTGAAAGGTTCCACCAACAAAAGGCCTCAGAAGAGATGCAACTTGCTAAAATGAGAATGGAATGAATTGGTGGTTGTCAGGTGTGAAGAATCAGGACCACATGTTAAACTCCAGTTTAGCTGATTTATTCCATCACTGGAGATTTTTAAAAAGAGGCTGGACAGTCACTTGTCTGAGATGGCATAGGTTCTCCTGCTTGAGCAGGGGGCTGGACTAGAAGACCTCCAAGGTCCCTTCCAGCTGTATTCTATTCAATTCAATTGTTTATGCCTACATGCAAGACTCTGACTGTGAGCTAGATAAGAGTTAAGGGAATTCAAGAGAGATTGGACTTAGACCGTTTGTGAGAATGTAATGATTCCAGGCTGATTGCTCTTTTGACTCCACCCCCAGGCTCTGCCTGTCCTTTTTCTAGACCGGCTGACTACTGCAATTGACTGAATGTTGGCCTGTCCCAACAGATTCAGCAAAGAGGTCAAGGAGAAGATCAACCCCTATACTTACTTGCCTTTTGGAGCCGGTCCTAGGAATTGTATCGGGATGAGATTCGCTCTCATTACCATGAAGGCCGCCGTAGCCAGGTTGATGCAGCATTTCACCTTCCAGCCCTGCAAAGAAACTCAGGTGAGGCTCAGGAATTGAGCTGTGCTCATTTATGGAGGGAAAACAACACATTGGCATCAAATCCCCCCTTTCTTTCTCAGTAGCAGAGACAGGAGATCTAATGAAAGTGTCACGCACAGAGCTATTCTGGAGGGTAAATGCTCGACAGGTAACGCTTCACCTGCAGCCAACATAACATCAAATATCTGGAAGATGTAGCTTGCATTTTTGCAGCTTAACCCTTTGACTCTTGCTTCCCAGTTGGAAGAAAATAAGAGGCATGAACTCCAAAGCCGTGTTCTTGGCCCAACTCTTTCTTTTTCTAGCATGGATCCAACTCCACAAGGGAGAAATGCAATTACTAATTTAGAAATAAATTGATATCTTCCCATATAAAATACAACTCACTTGTTCCCGGTCTCTTTCGAAGCATGCTCAGATGTTGCTCCTACACTGGTCCCTAGCATGGATGATTTTACCTGGTCTGAGTAATGAAATGCTCCTTCAAAGCATGAGAATAGGAACGACCAATAAGTCCTTGGTGCTCTCTGAGCTTGGTTGTTTTCTTGCAGAAGTTTCATTACTCAAACTAGGCAACATCTTCAGTGCTAGTATTAGCAACATCAGTGGTAGGAACATTTGAGCATGCCTTGAACATGATCAGGTCTCTGGTTTTTGACAGTAATAATCTTGATTTGATTTGATTTCACCAGGAACGAGTGATTTGGACTTTGCTGTATAAGTGCAGAACCAATAGTCTTCATTAAGATAGTCCATCTTGTTTCTGGCTTCTGCATAATGAATTGTGAAGATCTGCACTCATGCAAGTTCTGGATCACTTCTTCTGAATCATGTCTGGAGGATGCATCTCATCCTTCTTCCTCAAGAATGACCAGCTGTGAATTGGCAGCTACTTATCTTCAACTAAAGCTACAGAAGAGAAGATAAATTCTCTCTCTGGGTGCTATTTTTTCTTCTTCTAAAAATGAACTTATTGTCCAGTTATGGGATGACAAGAATCAAAAACCCCATGCAATCATAGGAAAACACTGATATATACTAGGAAATATATTTATAGGGCGAAATGAGATTTCAAAATCTATCTTCCAATATGCTACAGTCACTTGGAATGGACAACCCACAGACTGAAATTTCTTAAAACAATGACTCACCTTCAAATTAAGTAATTCTAGAAAACATTCAACACCCTTCCCTAAGGCGGATTCTTCCAAATTTGTGGATTCTGAGTCCCATCATTCCCAGCCAGTCAAACCTAATGATAGAATTATATTAGGTAGAATTAATAGATGAAAGAAATTCAGACCTTGCCCTGAATTTCCCTATATTTTATTTCTTTGTATTTAAATATATCTTGTCCACCTCTTTCCTGTTGCAGATCCCACTGGTGTTAGCCACAAAAGGGATCTTCAGAAGACCTACAAAACCCATCACCTTGAAGATCGTTCACAGGACCTAAACCAAGGTATAGTAGAGATTCCCACCCTCCAAATGGAATTTCTATGCATTTTTAAGGACTATTTTCTTAACTGGAAAATGTATTTTACCTGGCTATTATGAACTCTCTCTCCATCTCTCTTTTTTTTGTATATAATTGTAGGAGATTTAACTGTATGAAGATCCCTGCTCATAAAGATGGATGAAATCTGCCAGGTTCGCTGTTTCTCGAGTTGCTTTGTTTTGTAACTCGCGTTTTATCTCTGCCATTCCACTAAATCGTTTTCTATATATTCACCCCCTCAAGTGAAATTAATGAAATTCTTCCTTGGTTGGACCAGCTGATAGGAGAAGACCAGAACAGTTCAAAATCAGGGTCCAGTCAGGCCAGGAGAGCCAATTGGCCTTTGAAATCATAAAGATTTCATGATGATAACAGAGACTTTTATTCTTATTTCTTGTGTAATGTTTGCTTGGAATCCTGTACAAGTACTTCATAACTAGTTATGTGGAGAAATAACAAGAATTTAATAAGAGTAAATTACATTTTCCTGTGGCATACAAATGTAAAATCTGAAGAGGGCAACTGCTCTCCAAGAAAGAGTTCTTCATAATAAAGAAACTCTAAAGATAACAACAGGCTCTGTAGCTGTTTTTCAGACACACCCACTTAGGTAATAGTTGGGGAAGTGTAAATGCAAACAAGAACCCTGAAACCACATTGAAAAGTTTTGTGTTTGTTCTTTTTTAAAAAAAATCTCTTGTGTTTCTAGGAAGATGACAGAATAATGGACTAAAAGCAATGTTTGCCAACATCCGGAAAGCCGATTACTGTCATATTTTGATGCAATATGCAGTTACTCTAGTATGACACAATAATTCTGAATTTTGGAATTGGGAACATCCGGTTTATAACGTCCAACATTTTAAGCCTAGCCTTTCTTATTTTCATTTAGTTAGTGTGGAAGGAAGGAAGGAAGGAAGGGAAGGGAAGGGAAGGGAAGGGAAGGGAAAGGAAAATGATGGAAAGGAAAGGAATGGGAAAGGAAAGGAACGGGAAGGGAAGGGAAGAGAAGGAAAGGGAAGGATAGGGGAAGGGAAGGAATATCCAAATTATCCAAATTATTTTCAGCAAGACGATGGAGGAAGTGCACAGTTTTTTAAAACAGCCTCAGAAGAAAAAGGAAACGGAGCAAGAGAGAAATATTTGCATTTAGCAATCAAAACAGCCTTTTCTAGTAAGATATTTAAAATGAATTATTGTTAATCTAGGTGTAATTCGTTACTGATGCGCCCCCCCCCCTCCACAGTACACAAAGCCCTTTAGAAATGAAGTCATTAGTGTAACTGCATATGCTCTTTATTCTCTTCAAGATAGTGAGGGGGGGACCCTGAATAATTCTGTGCCAAGAGACAATTACAGCCTGCCATTCCCGCCGCAGAAGGCCATATGCATCAAGGGGTAACAAGATAACATTAATAAGCATTTTGCCGAGAAAATGAGATCAATAAAGCCTTGGCGGCACCACATCTGACTTGAAAATGATAGCCCTGATGAGTTGGCGAAACGCAGGAATATTAAGCATTTGTGACTATAAAGAATTAATAAAATATTGGGGGGGGGGGAGAATTTGGACAGCCATTTGTCCTGAAGGGAATAGGGTCTCCTGCCTCCAAGGTCCTTTTCAACTCTCTTAGTCAGTTATAAGTTCTCAATCGTCCCTCAGAATTAACCCCAGTAGCCTGGACACCTCAACAGGAAAAAAAAACAGCTCCTCGGAGAACGCCTGTTTGGTTTCAACCATTTTGTCTTTCATCCTCCACCTTAGCCAAGAGCAGGCAGATTCTCTCTCTGTCGTAGTTTTTGTTATGTCCTGAGCCTGTGCAAGCAGGCTCGGGGCATTGCAAACGGTCCCGGGCAGGTGCAAGTTGCCCGGGACCAGACAGGCTGTCGCCAGTACTTGTGCGCATGCGCAAGTGCTGGCGCGCCAAAAGTTGCAGATTGACCCGGGGATGGCCTATATAAGAGGCCAGGAGTTTTGGGCGTTGCTGGTGTCTTCTAACTGTAAGCTGAACTAAGAATAAAGAGTTCCTGAGAACTACAACTGCTTCTCATGTCTTGCCATTTCGCGAAGGACGCAACAGTTTTAGCTTTTTGTTTAGGTGTGATGCAAGGGAACTCTTCACCTTATGACTGTGGTGGCGAACCTATGGCACGCGTGCCACAGGTGGCATGCAGAGCCCTCTCTATGGGCCCGTGTACCATCGCCCCAGTCCTAGGCCTTCAGCTGGGTTTTATAAAACCTTTTTCGCTTTAGGCCTCCGCCGCCGTGTGCAAAAAAAAAAAAAGGTTCAATCAATTAATTTCAACTTCTATTCTATTCTATTCTATTCTATTCTATTCTATTCTATTCTATTCTATTCTATTCTACTCTACGTTCCACTATTCTATTCTATTCTATTCTATTCTATTCTATTCTATTCTATTCTATTCTATTCTATTCTATTCTACTCTACGTTCCACTATTCTATTCTATTCTATTCTATTCTATTCTATTCTATTCTATTCTATTCTATTCTATTCTATTCTATTCTATTCCATTCCATTCCATTCCATTCCATTCCATTCCATTCCATTCCACTCCACCCCACCCACCCCACCCCATCCCCATTTTAAAACAAGTGCAAAACAGGAACAGAGTGCACTAAGAACCAGCGAGGGTCAGAATGCCTCTCGTCCCCATGTCTTTGTGCCACACGGAAGCAATTTGAGATTTTTAGAACGACTCCCTCAGTGTGCAAATTGCTCCCCTTCCTGCCCAACTGCTAAGCACACACACACACACAGGCAGACAAACACACGTCACCCATTTCTCCCACTCCCTCCCATCAAATCCACAATGTCCCAACTCATTTGAAGAGGAGAACCTGGTTAGTCTGCAAAATTTCAAGGAGGAGCAGGAGAAGGAGGCGGGCAGCCCCCTTTCAGGCTAACAAATATTATTAAGAGGCATTAGCTTCCCTAAGCCGCGACTACCGCTCACAAAAGCAGGTGATTTTTAATAAAAATTTGTAGCTCAGGGAAAACGCTACTGGATCTTTTCAGAGGAGGCAGGCTGAGGAGGGATAGGAGCACCATGAATAATGCAGGAGAAATATTGTGGAGGCGGTTACGCCTGCTTAAGCTCATTTCATTTGAGCATGACATTAAAAGTGAGGCTAAGTCCTCAGCTGGAAACTCTCTTATGATACTTGAGGAACATGACAGGAGATTATTTGGGGGATCAGGTGGGGTGAGAGAGAAAGAATTGGAGTCCTATTCAACCGCAGAGGCATGAGAGGACCTGTGTTCTCCAAACGAGGTGGCAATTCCAGCCTATAGAAGATTGGTTTAAGTTAAGGATTGCTTGCTTGTGTGTTATCAAGTCAGTGTTGACCCTTAGCGACCATGTAGATCGATTTTCTCCAGGATAACCTGTCCCTAATCTGATTTTTCAGGTGCATCCATCTAAAGGTGCATCCATCTCTCCTGTCCCCGAGTCCATCCACTTTGCTGTTAGTTGTCCTCTTCTCTTTCTTCTGCTCTTCCCGGCATGATGGAGCTGGTGGTTTGCCTCTTGACTCTGTTCCATTTGACAGCTTTAATTGTTTTGTTTAAATTGCCTGCACCCACAGTCACACACAGAGGATGGGTGGCTGCAATAAATGAAGTAAATAAATTTGACGCCACGGGCTTTAATTATTTTAATGGTTCTTTCAAGCCCGAGGTGGAATTTTTGATAATGTAAGGTGCCCGAGGCCAGAAAAATAATTGTTGGGCAGCCATCACTGTTTCAATAAAGCCAATAATTAAATAAACAGGCAGAAGGTGAGGACAGGAAATTCAGTCACAGTTCTATTTCTGCCTTTGTTTGGGTTCCAGCTGGTAACTGATCATAAATGTTTGCCTATTGCCGTTTGACATGTTTAAAGTTTGGCCCTTTAAAATAAAACAACTTCCTGTTGACAAAGGGAGGGGAAAGGTGCCTTAGGAAGAAGGAATGCAGAATTCTGGGGTTGGCACGCAAAGGTTTTTGTGCTTCACCTGTTGTTCAGTTCCCTTGAACAAGAGTTCACTTCCGTGTTTACACTGTGTCCAAGTGCAAGACGATCGGGCAGAGGCAGATAAACAGAGTCTTTTTATTGCGTGTTTTGGGTGTGTTGTGTTGAGGTGCTAGGCCTGGCTTGGCTTAATCAGAGTCAGAATCATAGACTCACATCCTGGCCTTTGATCATTACAGGTAATCCTTGACTTAAAAACACAATCAGGACCAGAAAATTCATTGTTAAGTGATTGTTAAGTGAGTCACCATAGGACTGCACCTGATTGAACTATCTTTTTTGTCATGGTCATTAAAGAAACCACTGCAGTCGTTAAATGGGACATCACAGGTCCACGACTGGTGACTTTCTGGCTTCCCTATTGACTTTGCTTGTTGCAAACTGGCTGAGAAAGTTGCAAAACGTGATCGCGTAAGCCTCATCTTGTGAATGCAACTGGGAAACTGGAAAATTCATCTTTCAACGGTGCCACCTGGACCTGATTTTTACTACTTTTTTTCCCCCCCAGGGTCATTAAGAAAATTGCTGTAGTCGTTAAATGAGATATCACGGGAGCACAGCTGGTGACCTTCTGGCTTCCCCAATGACTTTGCTCATCGGAAACCGGCTGGGAAGTTTGCAAAACTTGATCACGTGACTGCCGGATGTTGCAATCGTCATAAACCTGACCCGGCTGCCAAGTGCCCAAGTCACAATCATGTGAGTGCAAGGATGCTAGGATGGTTGTAAGCAGTGGTGGGATTCAAATATGTGAATCACCAGTTTGCTATGTGGATGCCGCTTCCAGAAGTCCATTCTGGGTCTTCCATGGCTGAAGGCAAGATGAAAACATGGACTTCTCCACTCCTAGTCCTCAATGAATACACCATCTTGGGTCCATTGAGGTCACCACACCATGCAGCTTTCCCGTGCTGGTCCCTGACATTGGCCTCAGCCCTGTGGGTCAATCTTTTGTGACTTTGACCGAACAGCTCCAGCATTCTTGGCCCCTGAATCTCTTCCACAGAAGATATTTATCTTCATCAGAAACGGCTCCATTAAAAACACAGCCAACTTGCAAGCTCAGGTTATTATTACTGACCTTATCTCGCTCTGGCGTGCTTTTCTGTCAGATAAATCAGCTTTACGCCATCTTTTTTTTTCTATTTTATTACTACCATGTAATCTTTTCCCTGCATGCCAGAGCTATGACAGGTGCCAGATAAAATAGCTTTTGGTAATAAAGTTGTCTTTTAAATAAGAAAATACGTATCCCCTCCTACTTTCCAGTCTGGTCTGGAGTGGTTTAAGGAGGCAGGATTTTTTTCCCAGACAGGGAAAGAGGACTGAAGAGATGTTTCGTTGATTCTCAGTGCTAGAGTTTACTGAAAAACTAATTTTCTCCAGCGTTCTCCACTTATTCGATTAGCAAGTGAATTTGATCTTTAAATCCGGGTTAGAGCGGAATCAGCAACTACTGCTGGGAGGTTTCGTAATAACCTTCTACAATCTTCTACAAGGTCATCTCATTATGTTACCTAGTTTGGTCATGACATGTCTGAAGAACACAGCCCAGCACAGACAGCACCAAGGATCCCACATTTCTCCTCCTCCTCCTCCTCCCTGAAAAACTCACTCCCTTCCAGCACTGATGAGGTTACCTAGTTGGGTAATGAAATGTCTGAAAAAAACAGCCAAGCTCAGAGAGCACCAAGGATTCCACAGTTGTCTTCCTCCCCCTCCCCTCCCCTCCTTCTCCTCCTCCTCCTCCTTCCTCCACAAATCCCACTCCCTTCTAGTACTGATGATGTTACCTAGTTTGGGTCATGAAATCTCTGCAAGGAAACAAGCACGTTCAGAGAGCACCAAGGACCAAACCATATCTTAGAGCACTTCAGCGCCTATGCTAAGTTCTTCCTCTTAAAAGAGGCAAAAATGTTTCCCTCCCCCTAACCTTATTACATCATCTAATTGACACACAGAAGCCGTTGCATAATGGCATGAGGTCATCTTTTATGGTGAGCATTATTCCAGGTCTTGAGAAATGCCTTGGTGGAGAACACCCACTTGACATGTAGAAGGTCCAAAGTTTAATATCCGACGTTTTCTGGTGAGATTAAAGCTGCTGTAAACCTCAGGGATATTTCCTGGTACAGTATGCAATGATTGTATCATTCAAAAATTGTTTTTAGGCCGGATGCTAGCGTGTTTTTATTGTGAAATCTTTTCGTGACAACAGGTGTCCCCTGCTTTTCCTCTCTCCTGGCAGAGCAGCTCTCCATAAAACCTCTGTTTATTTAATCCCCTTTCTACCCCAGCAGTTGAGGAACCCTGAGGCTGTCCACAGGGAGATGCTTGAGGAACTTCCTTTGGCAGAAGAAGAGCGAAGCTTAGAGAAGAACTCAGAAAATTGCAGTGGTCCCTTGAATGCTTGGGCATCAAGTGATGTGTATATTAAATAAGAAGGTTTATTATTGTTTTTTTAAGCAAAGACTGGAGGGATCCCAAGATTAACTGGCACATCCAACATTCCTTGAAAACTGCATGAGGAAATGTCTAAACAGGCATTTAATTCTATAGATTCAGAGTGCTACTGTTATGTAACATGAAGGTACAACAGGAAGGAAGGAAGGAAGGAAAGAAGGAAGGAAGGGAGGAAGGGAGGAAGGGAGGAAGGAAGGAAGGAAGGACACACCACAGCCTCTTTGCAGCCTCCAGGTCTTCTATTCCTCATGTTCTACAACAGTTCTGGGCACCAACTTCAACATAATGGGCTTCTTTGGCTTGAGGAACCCTCTGTCATCCAGTTCCAAGGGGATCTTCCCCATTAACCAAAAGAAAGGAAGAAAGAAAACATCACAGAGATGGAATAAAGGCAATTCAACTAACAACAATCATGTTTTACACACATGCCTTTTCCTTTGCCTACACAATGCCTTGGTTGTATTTTGTTCAACTCAAACACTTTCCCCCCACTGTCTGGGATGCAACTGACAAAGGCTCAGAGAGTGTCCAGGGGTTTCACTCTGCTGTGAGCACCAAACAAGATTCTATTCTCAGTAGGCGTAAAAGCAAAACCTCTTCGTTGGTGTATCTCTCCCTCTCCCTCTCCCCCTCCTCCTTCTCTCTCTCTCTCTCTCTCTCTCTCTCTCTCTCTCTCTCTCTCTCTCTCTCTCTCTCTCTCTCACACACACACACACACACAAACACACAGGATGGACTGGGCTCCTCACCCCGAAAAGATGACTCTGTCTTTCCAAAGAGATCTTCCTTTCACATTCATCAACTTTGAACAAGACATATATGTGAGATAAGAATTCAGCTGAGTGAACTTTTCAGCGAATGAGCAAGAACCAGTTCTAACCCAAGTGGTAAATAGAACTCACCGGTGTCTCTTTGCAGGTTTGGAAGCGAAATCTTTGCAGTGCAACCACCAGACCCATTTTCAGCACCAGCAGGGCGAAACGCATAGCGATGCAGTTCCTGGGACCCGCTCCGAAAGGGAGGAAGACATACGGGTCTCGGCTCTCTTTGTTCTCTTTACTAAACCTATTTGCAAATCAGAAAAAAAAATCACAGCTGAATAAAGCTACTCTTCCCAATAGTCTGTACTTCAGCTCTGTAACTAAGATGCACCTTTGCTCCTTTCCTGCTGGATAAACTGGACTGAGAGCCATAAAGAAAGATAGTTTGTGGAGAGAGATGATTATGGTTCGATGGCTGATCTGGTGTAGTGGAATGTAGTCTGGATTCCCAGAAGGGAGGGGCTGCATTCCAGAGGACCAAGAGACAGTAAAATTTAGATAATATGTTTGGCAGGAAGAGAATTAAGACAACCTTTCTCTAGCAATTCTCAGAGTATTTTAGGAAAAGAGCAGGCATAGGGTTAGGGTTAGGGTTCTCATGGTCTAAGTTCAACCCTTCAAACTCCATTGACCCTTATCAGGTGCCAAATTAGTTGACTAAATTCTAGATCAGTGTGGCTCAATGCCAGTGGCCGTACAGCTTTTTTTTTGAGTTGTTGGAACATTAAACCAAATCATTGTCTCAGCTGTTACAGACAGCTTAGCCATCATTTTCTCCACTGGAGTTAATTAAGTTCCAACCACAGTTTATGGATGTGAATCATAAAAAATGCCCTGAGTGACATTGTTGATGTCGAAGAATGATCTGTGTCTCATTTGAGATGTTACAACCAACACCTTGCTCCCTGATGTCTTCATGGTGCTGTGTCCCTTATTCAATAGTTCCAGAAGAACCGTGTTCCTCACAACATACCTCTCAGGTCTGAACTCCTCGGGCTCAGGCCAATATTCTGGGATCCGATGTAGGACATAAACAGGAATCATAACCACGGTCCCTTCTGGGATGGTCACTCCATGGATTTCCACTGTCTTTTTGCAAACTCTGTCAATTCGTACCCCGGGAGGGTAAAGACGAAATGTTTCATTCACTACCATATCTAGATATTCCATTTGTTGGATACCCTCATAAGTGGGAGGGGCCTGCACAAAAGGACAAAACAAAACAAAATAATATGACATTCTGATACATAAGAAGTGATCTGGAAAGAAAGAATCTGAATTGGAATATTATAAAAAATGTTGTTGCAGAACAGGAATCCTGGAAAACTGGCCATCTCCCACCTCCTCAAAGTTCACATTTTGGTTTTGTAAACATTTTGTAAAAATGCTGTCCTGTTAGAAGAAGATTCTGGTTTTGCTCTTCTGGGGGAAAACATCTCTGCTCTTGGGAAGCACCTATCCTGGCCAGGAGGAGGGATCAAGTGAGAAGCTAGCCTGGAATCACCTTGCAATCACAAAAGAGCCAGGGCTGATCCCACTTTAGTTCCTCGAGCTTTATCTAATTATTCCCAGGAGTTGGCTTCCAGACTGGGGAGATTCCTGTACCACAGGCAGAACATAATAAAGTAGTTAGTGTGAACACCGCATGTGTGGGTCTGGTTGTTCATGCCTGGCAGCTCCTAAAATGATCCATTTTCATAGACCCCAAAAGAGTCTTACCTGATTGGGAAAAGTTTCATTGATCTCTTGGTACAATTTCTCTTGAACATCAGGGTACATGGCCAGACAATAAGACATGAAGCTGAGGGCGGTTCCCGTGGTTTCATAGCCACCAAAAATAAAAATAACTGACTGGGCCAAAATCTCTGTGTCTGTTAAAGCTATCAGATGAGAAAAGAAAGCACAGGAAGAGGTTTGAAGTAAAAGTTGAACTCCGTCTAGATCCCAATGACCTAAAGTCGACAGGTAAGCTGCAAATTCAAGGTGATAATCTAAGGAATCCTGTAGGGTGTTATCCATCCATTGTCGCTTATCTCATTATCTTTCAAGACCAGCCTCCTCTCTAATCAAACATTCTGATCCCTTTCAGTGAATCTGGCCTTTGTGCATGGCATTCAACCCACAATATATTTCACTTTTCCTCTCTTCCAGTGCCCGGAGGTTTCAGCATCCTTCAATAATGTTTATTTTGAGTTCATCCATGCACATCAATGTGCCCCAAGCAACCTTGTTTTTTTTTCCTTTTTCAAAAGCGAGATCTGTAACTTTACCTTTCTCTGAATTTGCCTCCCCAGAGGTATTGGCTGCAGCTTGAGAGTCCATCATGAGCCGAAGAAAGTCAACCCGGTTCTGGAATGGTAGAGAGACCCCAAAACTGTCATTAAGGAGATACAACTAACATTGATAGCTCTAATTGCCCATTGTAGACTTCCAAAGTATTTGAGATGCTCTCTGAGCTTGCGTGTTTTTCTTGCAGATGTTTCATTACCCAAACTAGGTAACATCATCAGGGCTAGACGGGAGTGAAGTTTCATCATCATGTTACCTTGTTGGGCCATGGAAGGTCTGCAAGAAAACCACCAAGTTCAGAGAGTACCAAGGATCCCACTTGTTAACCCTGAGCTACAAATATTCTCCATTATTAGAAGGTGTTTGAAACTCAACGGGCAGTTCTGAAACCTGCCTGGCATGCATAAACATACACTGAGTGCACAAAATCCAGGTCACAAAGGCCACAGAAGACCAACCACGAGACAAATAGTCTAGACTGACCGTGTGATTCCCCTTTTGTCGATCTTCTTTGATTTTTTTGACGACACCATGGAAGTAGTCTAATGAAGATTTGGGAAATATACTTAGGTTGAGCTTGTTCAGCACTGGAATAAGGAATGGGAAAAAAACTGGGGGAGGGATGGGGGTGGGAAAAAGCAAAGAGATCATTTGTGTGAACATAACCAAGTTGCAACACAGCAAGAAAAAACCCAGTGAGAGGCCTCCGTTAGCTTTGTGGAGGAGAGAGATTCTAGGAAAATTATAGTTACAATAGTGATTTCATGAGAAGGTTACAATAGTGATTGAGGCAGCCTAAAATTGAGGGAGTCAATAATGATGTTTAATAAAAATACCAGCTTGAGCAGCTACTACAATAGCTTTCTCCTACCCAAGGGACTCCTATATTATTGTCCCTATTATTCACAACCAACCCAGACTTGGGATGGTAGCCAATGAAGATGTTAGATGGTGCTAGTTTAGGGAAAGAGGTTCTAAGCTTCTTGTCAAGAATCTCAGATACTGAACAGCTAGTATGAGATAGTGGCAAAACCATGTCTCCCAACATCTATGGAGATCCTCAGTCATCCAGGTCATGGTTGGCCCTAAGAGGTTTTTTTGGGGGGAGGGGGAAAGCATCTTTGGGACAACCTTTCTCAGCCATAAAACACACTGTCTGATTTTTCTTTTCTCCTATTTTCAACTAAAATTTATGGAAAGATAAGAAGAAAAGTGGAAGATATGGAGGAAAACATGGGAATTTATAAATATGTCATCTGAATCCTCCATAAAACATAGCAGATGAAATGCAGTCTATAAGGAGTGCCTTTCCGGTAAGCAAGCAAGAGGCAGAGCAGAGATGTCCACCTCTGTGGCCTACAAAGTCATCTTACCAGCCAACATTAAAACAGGGTTGAGCAGGGTAAATCTGAGGAACTTCTTCATGTGCACAACAATAGGATCATTGGGATGGTTGAGGGAGTCAATATTGACACTGAATGAAGTGCTGGTTACCACATCCAAACTGTAGGCTGAAAAGATCCTGGAGGGAAGAAGGAGAAGCATAGCGTGGAGGTTCAACTATTAGAAGCCACCTCATAATACGTTCAATAGATGATCTCAGGGAACCCTTAATAATTGCACAAGGGATTTCGTATATTATGGAAAATGTGAATCCATTTTGATATGTCTGGGTTACAAATTTTCCTTCTGTAAATTTCTGTTAGAAAAGGGATGCTCAATAACCAATCTTATAGATATTACTTACAACTTCATATCTATGGCTTCATCACTCTCCACTTTCTTTTGAAGGTTCTTTTCCAAGATTTCATTATAATGGTTGATGATGGGCATCATCTGAAAGGAAGACCAATGTACCAGCTGCTGAAGACCCCTTGACCATTTGTGGACTGAAACCAACAAGTCGGCTCAGATAGCTATTTTCAAACCACCAGCTGCTAAGCAACATTAACTTGAATTTCTTGCTTCTGGGTGAATCTTCTCAAACTTATTTAAAATGTACCACTTATTATAATCTTAAATGTCATAGCTTGCTGACTTTGTAGCTGTTTCTTCATTTGCTGTAAGCATTGAGCATGTCAAGATATTAAACTAGATCCCATTCAGTGAGGCTGGTGGATCACAAGGGCATACAAATGTTGGCTGCTAATAAAATTCAGCTAGGATTTATGAAAGTGAGCAGAGCTAGAACCATCTTCATAGAAGAGAACTTACAAAGCTCCATCATTCCAAAGCTGGAAATAATTAATTGTCGCTAAAATAAAATGGCACTCATGGAAACCTTTTCCAATCTGATATTCTCTTCCCATGATAATCGGAAATTTTGAGAGTTGGAATCTCAGATTAAGGAAGGTCAACCTTACTTTTGATATAAGGAAGGTGGAGAAATTTAGTCAAACATTTCAAATACCTACTCCAAGGAGTGCTGGAATTTCTTGAAAAATTATTAGGAAGAAAATCAGTAACAAAGAAGAGGATTTTCTAAAAGATACCGCCTGTCTTAATAGCTGAAGGAAATTAATGGGTGTGTTCACATGAGACTTAATAGGGTTTGGGCAAGGCTCCAGAAAACTTAGGTGTTCCAGAATAGGATTTATATGACTCTTAGACTTGGTCTTTTCTTTTAGGACAAGCTGATTTCACAGATCAACGGGATCAACAAGGCTGCTAAACAGTGTAAAGCAGGTGAAGTAATATATGGAGGCTTCCTCCATGCTAATGAAGACAGAATTTGCTTAAAATCAACCACGGACAATGATTAATGCCAGGCTGAGTTTTCCTTAGGCAAGGCAAGAATTGTTGAGAAGGATGAAATGCATCCACCTCTTACCTCCTTCAGCCTCCCACTGGTGAAAGTGGGAGACAAGGCACTACGAATCCTCTTCCACTGTTCATCAACAACGATAGATAAGGCTGTATCCAGATTTCCATTCAGACCAAAGTCCTGAATAATGTGAAATATAAAGAAAGTAAAAACAGAAATGTCTCATTTTGTTCTTCTCAGGCCTTTCTTTTCAATTTGCTGTCTTATTAGCTAAGTAGACAATCTCTCTCTCTCTCTCTCTCTCTCTCTCTCTCTCTCTCTCTCTCTCTCTCTCTCCCTCTCTCTCTCTCTCTCTCCTATATATCTCTCTTATCTATTTCTCTATCATTATGATCAATATCTATCTCTATCTCTCTATCTAATCTTCTCTGTCAATTGTCTATCTAATTGATAGCCAGATATCTACTGCTGTTCTGGAATTCAAGGCGGCATACATATTGTTCCACCTCCAATCTCTTTCACAACAAGTACATGAGTTTCGGTGGAGAAAGAGTGACTGGCCCAAAGTGACTTGGGAGGCTTCCAGGATTCAGGGAGACCCTGGACCCAGGTCTCCCCAGTGCCAACCCAATACCTAAACCACAACTGCTCTGCCAAGTTCCCTTGCTGGGTTTATGTTTCTCAGCCCTGGTGAAGTTCTAACAGACTCACATTTGGATACCTACCCGGCGATTGGTGAAATAAGTATAGAATTCTTTGACCATGATGGTTTTAATGAGGGCAGGATCCAGAATGGCCATCACAGGTTGCCGGCCATCAAATAGTCTGATTGCCAAAATAAATAAAAAAAAATGTTTTGAAATGCAGGGTTTATCTTTATAGAGAGACAGGATCAAGGGTTCCTATTTTCCTGCTAAATAGCCAGTCAAGTAAAGAGCATTGTTCTGAAGTTCAGTTCTTGGCCCAAAAGTGATGTGTGTGTTGCAACAATTGTCTACCCCTTAAGAGTTTGAGGAGTGGAGGAAATAAGGATTTATAGACAGGTTGTCCAACTTACATCTCTGCCCGGTGAGCAAACCCAAATGAAATAATGAAGAACCCTAAAAAGCAGGTTAACAGCAGACAAGGCTGAAAAGACACTGCAAATAGTTTCTATCTTGCATGTCCTACATGAGCAAAGAATTCTCAATTTTTTTAGGGCAGAATGTAGACTTTCTTTCTTTCTTGTCTCAGCATAGCACACGGGCCCTGGAATTTGATGGATAAAGAGAATGATCTCTCTATCATCTCAGACAAGTGACTGCCCAGCCTCTTCTTAAAAATCTCCAGTGATGGAGCACCCACGATTGCTGGTGGCAAGCTGTTCCACTGGTTAATTTTCCTCACTGTCATTTTTGCCCTTCTATATTAGAAATCACCCTCTGAAGACAAAAGTAGATATTAACATTCCGCCCATCACCCTTCCTTCTTGAAGGTGACATTCTGACAGGTGACTCACCCCCAGATTTTGCCGTATTTCTCAAAGCATTTTTGGTCAAACTTCAGGACACCCTGTCAAATTAAAGAGGGAGATCAGTGACAACAAGGCAGTGTAAACCTTTCTTCAACAGAGACTGGAAGAGTATAAACAGCCATTAGCAACCATTAAAAGCCCTTCAACTAGTAAGCCTTGAATCCCTACTGATATGATGATTAAACCGATACAGTGACAATATCTTCAGAATGAAGACCAAGGAATTCTAAGAGAAGTGCCAAAGAAAGGCAGATGGCTTTAGTGGTAGTCCTCAACTTATGGCTACAAGCTGAGGACTACCTCTACTAGTAGTCTTTATTCTCCCGGCTCTTCTTCTGAGGAGGCCAAGAAGAGGTGATACAAGTCACAATATCTCCCTTAGGAAAGAAAAAGACCAAAAAGACTCCTTTTTCTTCCAAACTTTTTGGATTTGTTTACAAGCTACTAGGACATGAAACAGGACAACACACTCACGTGCCGATATTCATGGAAAGTTCCGATAAAAGGCAGTGGTCTTGGCCCAGGAATTCCCAACTTCTTAAATAAATTAAACGGCCAGGTCCCATAGCTGAAAGAAAAAAAAAAGAATATCAGCAGGATAATGTCACTGGGTTCTAAACAAAGAAGGCTTGGCAGGTGGAGAAGATCAGAAGGTCCATCAAGCCCACCTTGAAGGACAGCAAAGATGTCCTAGATGCAGAGAATGGGGAAGATGACCTCGACAAAGCTGTGCAGAAGCGATTTCCCAGGTAAAAGGGGCTGAAACTTTTTTTAAGTCCAGAAAAAGGAGAAAGCACTTGGAAGCTGTTCAAGCAGACACTTCCTAATTTACTGCTACATAAGGAGGAGGAGGAACTGTCCAGCCCAATAAAGCAATGACCTGTTATTATAACAAACTGCATAAATCTAGCCTTCTGGTGCAGTTGATTTCCTGGTCTAGTCTTACTACTAAGGTTGACACAGTGAGAATGGCATTGATAGCTATTAATTAGCCCCAGAAGCTGAATATCAGGTGTATCTGGATACCCCACGTCCTGTGGTTTTCCACCTCCTATTCTTTCCCACTCAAAGTCACTGGGAGTAGAACAAGTCAGAAAGAAAAACAGAGCCAAGCAGAGAGAAGAAGGGAGAAGGCAAGGCAAGATAAGAGAAAGGAGGAGAAGGGAGGTGAGGGGAGGGGGAGAGCAGAAGAAGAGGAGAAGAAAGGAAATGAGAAGAGAGCAGAGCAGAGGAGAGGAGAGGTGACAGCAGGAGAAGAAAAGAAAGAGGAAGAGAGCACAGGAGAGATAAGAGGAGAGGAGAGGAGAGAAGGAGAAGGAGAAAAGAAAAAAAATTAACAGAAAAAAACCTGAAGTCAACTCAAGTCACAATTTAACAGAACTACTATCCAATAACCGGCCCCACCTTCCGCTTTTACGCCACCAAAAGCCCCAATCCGCCCTCCAAACGCCCCAGCCGGGAGCCCTGCAACTTCGGGAGGGGCTTCCCCGTTTCCCTCTCCCCCCTCTAGCCCCCAACCCGGCCTGGCGCAGCCCCCACTTACAGCAGCCCCAGGGCCAGGAGGAGCAGGAGCAGCGCCCAAGTTTCCAGCGCCCAGCCCAGGACCGGGTCTCCCATGGCGAGCGCTTCTTCGGAGGCTTCTGAGCCGCGTCTCGGAAGTTCCGGGGTTGTATAACCGTCCTGGGAAAGAAGCCTGCCCGGGACTCCTCCTCGGCCGGCCTCCCGGGGCCACTCCCCGCTATGACTCCGATTACAAGCCCTGGAATGTCCGGCCAGCCCAGGACTATGTAGTCCTAACAGCCGAAGAGGGTTGCTCTTTCTCCATCATCATTCCTTCTCTTCACCATCTTCCTTCTCCTTTTCCTACTCTTCTTGTCTCCTCCTCCTCCTCCTCCTCTATCACTTTTCCTTCTCCTCCTCCTTCTCCTTCTCCATTATTCCTTCTCTTTCTCCTCTTTTTTTCTGGTGTTTTCTTTTCGTCCGTTCTGAAAATCAAAAAGAGAAGTTTGCTCTTTTTGTCCCGTGACTCGTCTCCTGTTCTTTTGGGACTGAGGCTCAAGCGAGCAGTATTTATAGGCAGATGGAAACTTCTCCTTTTGCTGGTGTTCTGTTAGGCCAGCAGCCCAGGCACATTTGGCCTCTGAGACCCCCTTGACCCAAGCAGGAAATCCCCTCCCTTTGCACCCCTCTGGGCAATGCAGCCCTCATTGCCCAGTTTCGCTCTCCAAACTTGTTGGGGGTCTGTGTCTACTGGAGGGTCAATTCTTCTAGGAGCTGAATTCTGGTTGGGTGTGCTTGAAGCAGAGTTTCCCCTATTTTGCCCCTTCCCCACTGCTGGACACCCCAACATCCGGCAGGTGTCTTGGTGGGAAGCAGCTGGCTTCAGAAGAAGGCTGTGTGAGGTGGGTGGTCCTGAAGAGGCTTGCGAAGGAGAGGGGGGGGCTTCTCATTTGAACACCCCTTCCTCACCCGATTGCGTCATTCCCCTTGCGCCCTGTCCAGTTATATACAGCTTTCTTTTCTTTTCAATTTTTCTTTTCTGTACTTTTTATTTTTCATTTATTTGTTAGTTAGTTTGTATTAATTTTCAACTATTTAATTGTAATTTCCGATGCAACTACTACTTAAAAAAACATCAAATACTTGCAAAGTATCCAAATGACACTTTCCTTCTTCTTCTTTCATTTAGTTCTGTGAGACTGCAAGAAACTTTATTAAGATGGCCTCTTTGTTTTTATACAACATTTCTTGAAATCTTGCGCACTAAGAAAGAAAAAAGAAGAAAGGCCAGCTGCCTTGTGAAAAAGCACCTTTGGGACAACCATGACCTGGATGACCGAGAATCTGCATAGTCAGTCTTAGTAAGACTTTTTGAGGTCATCTCAAGTAACCTCCATAGTGTCCCAAGGTTTTTGTAGCAGTGGATGGTTTGACCATACGAAACAGACTGCAAGTGGCCTTTGCATACAGTTTGTTGACCCCAACTCTCATCAAACTAGTAAAGGGGTGCCAAAAAGCCAGGGCATCTTCATGATCTTTCACTTGGCTTGCTTTCCAGATGTTTCTCATGATCGTATCTTCATCTTATCAAAGAGAGATCCAAGCCAGAAGAAATTTCTCAACAAAAATTCAGGGATTTTCCCTGATAGTTTGCAATGGCTGTCTTATTCAAAAGCTGTGTTTAGGCACGACACTAGGATGTTTTTATTGTGAAATCTTTTCGTGACTAACAAGGAAGTTCAGAGAGCACTAAGGACCAAACCATATCTTAGAGCACTTCAGCCACTATGCTAAGTTCTTCCTCTTAAAAGAGGCAAAAATGTTTCCCTCCCCCTAACCTTATTGCATCATCTGATTGACACACAGAAGCTCTTGCATAATGGCATGAGGTCATCTTTTATGGTGAGCATTATTCCAGGTCTTGAGAAATGCCTTGGTGGAGAATAGCTACTTGACATGTAGAAGGTCCCAAGTTTAATATCCGACGTTTTCTGGTGAGATTAAAGCTGCTGTAAACCTCAGGGATTTTTCCTGGTACAGTATGCAATGATTGTATCATTCAAAAACTGTTTTTAGGCCGGATGCTAGCGTGTTTTTATTGTGAAATCTTTTCGTGACAACAGGTGTCCCCTGCTTTTCCTCTCTCCTGGCAGAGCAGCTCTCCTTAAAAACTCTGTTTATTTAATCCCCTTTCTACCCCAGCAGTTGAGGAACCCTGAGGCTGTCCACAGGGAGATGCTTGAGGAACTTCCTTTGGCAGAAGAAGAGCGAAGCTTAGAGAAGAACTCAGAAAATTGCAGTGGTCCCTTGAATGCTTGTGGCATCAAGTGATGTGTGTATTAAATAAGAAGGTTTATTATTGTTTTTTTAAGCAAAGACTGGAGGGATCCCAAGATTAACTGGTGCATCCAACATTCCTTGAAAACTGCATGAGGAAATGTCTAAACAGGCATTTAATTCTATAGATTCAGAGTGCTACTGTTATGTAACATGAAGGTACAACAGGAAGGAAGGAAGGAAGGAAGGAAGGAAGGAAGGAAAGAAGGAAGGAAGGAAGGGAGGAAGGAAGGAAGGAAGGAAGGAAGGAAGGAAACACAACAGCCTCTTTGCAGCCTCCAGGTCTTCTATTCCTCATGTTCTACAACAGTTCTGGGCACCAACTTCAACATAATGGGCTTCTTTGGTTTGAGGAACCCTCTGTCATCCAGTTCCAAGGGGATCTTCCCCATTAACCAAAAGAAAGGAAGAAAGAAAACATCACAGAGATGGAATTAAATAGAGGCAATTCAACTAACAACAATCATGTTTTACATACATGCCTTTTCCTTTGCCTACACAATGCCTTGGTTGTATTTTGTTCAACTCAAACACTTTCCCCCCACTGTCTGGGATGCAACTGACAAAGGCTCAGAGAGTGTCCAGGGGTTTCACTCTGCTGTGAGCACCAAACAAGATTCTATTCTCAGTAGGCGTAAAAGCAAAACCTCTTCGTTGGTGTATCTCTCCCTCTCCCTCTCCCCCTCCTCCTTCTCTCTCTCTCTCTCTCTCTCTCTCTCTCTCTCTCACACACACACACACACACACACACACACACACACACACACACACACAGGATGGACTGGGCTCCTCACCCCGAAAAGATGACTCTGTCTTTCCAAAGAGATCTTCCTTTCACATTCATCAACTTTGAACAAGACATATGTGTGAGATAAGAATTCAGCTGAGTGAACTTTTCAGCGAATGACAAGAACCAGCTTCTAACCCAAGTGGTAAATAGAACTCACCGGTGTCTCTTTGCAGGTTTGGAAGCAAAATCTTTGTAGTGCAACCACCAGACCCATTTTCAGCACCAGGAGGGCAAAACGCATAGCGATGCAGTTCCTGGGACCCGCTCCGAAAGGGAGGAAGACATATGGGTCTCGGCTCTCTTTGTTCTCTTTAGTAAACCTATATGCAAATCAGAAAAAAAAATCACAGCTGAATAAAGCTACTCTTCCAAATAGTCTGTACTTCAGCTCTGTAACTAAAATGCACCTTTGCTCCTTCCCTCCTGGATAAACTGGACTGAGAGCCATAAAGAAAGATAGTTTGTGGAGAGAGATGATTGTGGTTCGGTGGCTGATCTGGTGTAGTGGAATATAGTCTGGATTCCCAGAAGGGAGGGGCTGCTTTCCAGAGGACCAAGAGACAGTAAAAATTAGATAATATGTTTGGCAGGAAAAGAATTAGGACAACCTTTCTGTAGCAATTCTCAGAGTATTTTAGGAAAAGATCAGGCATAGGGTTAGGGTTAGGGTTCTCATGGTCTAAGTTCAATCCCATCATTTTCTCCATTGAAGTTAATTAAGTTCTAATAACAGTTTATGGATGTGGATCATAAGAAAAGCCCTGCATGACATTGTAGATGTCAAAGAATGATCCACATCTCATTTGTGATGTTACAACCAATACGTTGCTCCCTGATGTCTTCATGGTGCTGTGTCCCTTATTCACTAGTTTAAGAAGAGTGATGTTCCTCACAACATACCTCTCAGGTCTGAACTCTTCGGGTTCAGGCCAATATTCTGGGAGCCGATGTAGGACAAAAACAGGGACAATAACCACGGTCCCTTCTCGGATGGTCACTCCATGGATTTCCACTGTCTTTTTGCAAACTCTGTCAAGTAGTGGCCCAGGAGGGTAAAGACGAAATGTTTCATTCACTACCATATCTAGATATTCCATTTGTTGGACACCGTCATAAGTGGGAGGGGCCTACACAAAAGGACAAAACAAGACAAAATAAAATAATATGACATTCTGATACATAAGAAGTGATCTGGAAAGAAAGAATCAAAATTGGAATACTATAAAAATGTTCTTGCAGAACAGGAATCCTGGAAAACTGGCCATCTCCCACCTCCTCAAGGGTCACATTTTGGTTTTGTAAACATTTTGTAAAAATCCTGTCCTGTTAAAAGAAGACTCTGGTTTTGCTCTTCTGGGGGAAAACATCTCTACTCTTGGGAAGCACCCATCCTGGCTGGGAGGAGGGATCAAGTGAGAAGCTAGCCTGGAATCACCTTGCAATCACAAAAGAGCCAGGTCTGATCCCACTTTAGTTCCTCGAGCTTTATCTAATTATTCCCAGGAGTTGGCTTCCAGACTGGGGAGATACCTGTACTACAGGCAGAACATAATAAAGTAATTAGTGTGAACACTGCATGTGTGTCTCTAGTTGTTCATGCCTGGCAGCTCCTAAAATGATCCATTTTCATAGAGCCCAAAAGAGTCTTACCTGATTGGGAAAAGTTTCATTGATCTCTTGGTACAATTTCTCTTGAACATCGGGGTGCATGGCCAGACAATAAGACATGAAGCTGAGGAAGGTTCCTATGGTCTCATAGCCACCAAAAATAAAAATAATTGACTGGGCCAAAATCTCTTTGTCTGTTAAAGCTATCAGACGAGAAAAGAAAGCACAGGAAGAGGTTTGAAGTAAAAGTTCAACTCCGTCTAGATCCCAATGACCTAAAGTCGACAGGTAAGCTGCAATTCAAGGTGATAATCTAAGGAATCCTGTAGGGTGTTACCTATCCATTGTCTCTTATCTCATTTTCTTTCAAGACCAGCCTTCTCTCTAATCAAACATTCTGATCCCTTTCAGTGAATCTGGCCTTTGTGCATGGCATTCAACCCACAATATATTTCACTTTTCCTCTCTTCCAGTGCCCGGCGGTTTCAGCATCCTTCAATAATGTTTATTTTGAGTTCATCCATGCACATCAATGTGCCCCAAGCAACCTTGGTTTTTTTCCTTTTTCAAAAGCGAGATCTGTAACTTTACCTTTCTCTGAATTTGCCTCCACAGAGGTATTGGCTGCAGCTTGAGAGTCCATCATGAGCCGAAGAAAGTCAACCCGGTTCTGGAATGGTAGAGAGACCCAAAAAACTGTCATTAAGGAGATACAACTAACATTGATGGCTCCAATTGCCCATTGTAGACTTCCAAAGTATATGAGGTGCTCTCTGAGCTTGCGTGTTGTTCTTGCAGATGTTTCATTACCCAAACTAGGTAACATCAGCAGGGCTAGAGGGGAGTGAGGTTTCATCATCATGTTATCTTGTTGGGCCATGAAAGGTCTGCAAGAAAACCGCCAAGTTCAGAGAGTACCAAGGATCCCACTTGTCAACCCTGAGCTACAAATCTTCTCCATTATTAGAAGGTGTTTGAAACTCAATGGGCAGTTCTGAAACCTGCCTGGCATGCATAAACATACACCGAGTGCACAAAATCCAGGTCACAAAGGACACAGAAGACCAACCATGAGACAAATAGTCTAGACTGACCGTGTGATTCCCCTTTTGTCGATCTTCTTTGATTTTTTTGACGACACGATGGAGGAAGTCCATTGTAGACTTGGGGAATATAGTCAGATTGAGCTTGTTCAGCACTGGAATAAGGAATGGGAAAAGAACTGGGGGAGGGGTGGGGGGGGGGAAAGCAAAGAGATCATTTGCGTGAACACAACCAAGCTGCAACACAGAAAAGTGGAAGATATGGAGGAAAACATGGGAATTTTGCAAAGATGTCATCTGAATCCTCCATAAAATGAATGAAATGGGGTCTACAAGGAGTGCCTTTCCAGTAAGCAAGCAAGAGGCAGAGCAGAGATGTCCACCTCTGTGGCCTACAAAGTAATCTTACCAGCCAAGATTACAACAGGATTGAGGAAGGAAAATTTGAGGAACTTCTTCATGTGCACAACAATAGGATCATTGGGATGGTTGAGGGAGTCAATATCAACACCGAATGAAGTGCTGGTTACCACATCCAAACTGTAGGCTGAAAAGATCCTGGAGGGAAGAAGGAGAAGCATAGTGTGGAGGTTCAACAATTAGAAGCCACCTCATAATACGTTCAATAGATGATCTCAGGGAACCCTTAATAATTGCATAAAGGATTTCATGTGTTATGGAAAATGTGAATCCATTTTGACATGTCTGGGTTACAAATTTTCCTTGTGTAAATTTCTGTTAGAAAA